TGTTTTCACATTCGTCACGATGTGCTGCAGAATGCTAACCCCACTTTTAGAAATTTATGCGTAATGTAAAATTTTGTGATTGAATGTTTAAAATTTAACTCAAAATTTTAAAGAAGTTTTGAAATTCGAGCTTCAACAGCGCTTCAAATTAGCACTGATAGTTATTAAACAAATTCAGTCGGTCAAATTTGGAGCAAAATTTTGGAGCTTGGTGATGATGCAGGATCTTTGATAATTACTTTCTCATGTGTCATCGAGTTGGTTCAAAGCGAAAAACTTTGCCTTGGCTTGTGTGGATTCAAGTGTCCTTGATTGAAAATAGTGTCTGCACTGATACCACATTAGATCAGAAAAGAGATAAAAATTGAGAGTTCACACAAAGTTGAAGAAGTGTTGAATGGTTGATTGATGGATAACGACTCGTTTATTTGCAACGATTTGTTATTTGTAACGATGATATTGAAGTCAACAAATCAAAACTTCTACATCTAATATGAAGAAGCTTGATATGTAAAATTTCTAATTCATTTTTTAATTTTTAATTTGAATACATTTTTAAATTCAATTCAGTTCAATACACATGAAACAACAACTAAAAAACAAATAATAAATTAGTTTCATTCATTATTTGTATTAAATTTTTGATCATTTTTCTAAATTTGTAATTCACGATAAGTATATCACTCTAACATCTATCAACAAATTGATAAATTATTTTTTTATAACATATATTAATTTCATCATTAAAATCATAATTAATTACATAAATTATATTATATAATTTAAAAGAGGTAAATAAATATTTATTAATAATTAATTGCATGTATCACTTAAATGCAATAATAAAAAGTAATAACAAGCTTAGAGTAGAGCAATTTAGTTGTTTTAAAAATTGCAATATCATTTAATAATTTGTAGATTTGATATATGATGCTCATATTGTGATTTTTTTACCATAAATTGCATATCATTTCAAAGTAAAGAAGACATTAGTTATAAATTTGACTTGAAATTAATTTATATTTTTTTATTTAAATCATTTGCAACGTCATGAATTGAACTCACAAATTTTTTTATAAAAAATATTGTGATTTATCCTTACCTAAAGAATATGCAAGAATTGTATATAAATTATTTATAATAATACTATCATATATTTAAAAAATATTGTAAGATTAAAACTCAAATTTTGAATTAAAATAGTAATTTTAGTGAGATATAAAATTTTAATAAATTCATTTTAATTTTATCATAATAAATTAAACGTCTTAAATGAAAAAACAATATCTCAATATTAAAAAGTTTTGAATTGAATGCATAAATAAAATTTGTACTTCAATAATTAAGCTTAAATTCTAAAATAAAATTTCAAAATAAAACTCATAAATGCAATATATATCAGAATGATACTTCAAAATCTTAATAAGTAGTATTATAAAACTGAATTCATCTAGGATACACTAATATATCAAGACTAACAAACATTTTTTTTGAATTCATATTGATTATATGTTATTCATAAATACTCTTTATGTTAATCATTTCAAATCTATCGTTTTCTATTATTTTATTTTTTATCAAATAATCCAAGATTGGAATTATCTTCTAACATGATGTTAATTTAAATTATTTGTAGGCTTAACGATTTTGAATCTTATATGTTAGATTACAACGGTTCTTTGAAGAGATGGAAATCAATACTTACAAGACCTAATTTTATAAGATTATAATAAGAAACAAGTACTTTTTACTTACGTATTATATATTAAATCCATCTAATTAAACTGTGTTTTTAATAATAATCAAACTTAAAATTCAAGTAGTTTACTAGATACTATTTGATTATTCCATGTTTAACATTTACATGCGATTTATAATTTTAATTAAAAAAAATTGTAAAAAAATTAAGAAGTGTATCTAATTTTATTAATTTATATTTTTTATGATTATTGAAATTATTATGTACATGTAAACATAAAACAAGAAATTTGTATAGTAAATTTTGTATGATAACTATTTTGGAAAATTTTTTTTTTCTTAATTATATGATCTATCATAGAGAAAAATAAAATTATGAAAATATGTTTTTTTAAGATAAACACTAATTGGTGAACCAAGATTGTGTTTGGATATATCAAGTTTCTTATGTGATTACTTGCAGATGTGGATTTGCTAAAAGCCAATGTCTAAATTTCATTTGATATGATCATGCAAACATTCAACTGTACTAAAAATTATTGTTTAAATTTCTTTTGTATCTTCAACAATTCTGAACTTAGATTTTGTGATCAATTTTGTTTATTCAAATAGAAGATTCATGATTCAGTTATAATTTCAAAGAAATAATATTTATTCATTTATCAACAAGCATTATCATTATGGTTATCATTATTCAAGCATTGAATTGTCTATGAGTTTCTGAAGAAAATAATATTAAAACAAAGAATAAATTATAAAATATATACTTATTTTTATTTGATTATTTTTTAAATAGCAACAAATTTTTTTGGTTTATTTTAATAATTTTGAAACAAATTCATTAATTGATATTTGTTAATGCAATTCATCGGTAATTATTTGTACATGTTGATACAAAAAATTGTGAATATTTTGTAATACACATCTTAAAAAATGGACTCTCTTAAATTAAAAAAATTATTCACTTTTGTAGCGCAATTGATTAATATAAAGATTTTTTCCCAAGAATACATAATAAAATTTGCAAGGACATTTTTTGGCGCAAAGTAGTGAAATTCAATTCAATATAAAATTATTTCAATCATAGATTATGTAAGACATAAAATCATCATGAAAAAAAACCTAAGTAGTAAAAATTGTAATTTAAAATCATTTGATCAAAATTTCAAAATAAATATATATTAAGTTATTTTAATTATAATAAAATAAAAAATTTAACTTATGAATATGAATGATGTGTTTGTGTCTATTGAAAAATTATGATATATTTTTTTATTATATTTGATTCGTATAATTAATTTTTCAGAAATAGACTTGTAATCAAATTTTTATATTCATTTATTTTTTACATTAAATTTAAGGATATTCACAGCCTATGAAATTTTGAATGATTTATTTATTTTTTTCAAATTTATTTGAATGTAAACTAATACTATATATATTAAAATATTTTGACTCAAAAATTTAAAATATCACAAACTAATTAAAGGTTAGTCGGTTCATCACTCTGTTGCTTTAAAAACTTCATTCTTATTCGCGATGATATTTTTTTACTTCATTGAGATTGTGATAATAGATTTCTTCTTTGCTGAATTCAAGTTTTTCAATGATAAGTTTGTCATGTATAAAATAAAGTAGACATCAACAAAAGATGTACTATATCCTAGTTGCAATGATATTTGTTTTGCGTAAAAAACCAGAACTTACTGAAACACTTCGGAATCAATAATAGAACATACAGAAATAATTGGTTAGAAGTTTCAGCCGAGCATCAAATGGTAGATATTAATGCATTTTTTAATTCAAAATGTTGTTAATGCAATGGGTTGACGTGTATAGAGAGATTATATTCTTCCTTCACATACTCAAGAATATCTTTGTTCAACATGTCGACCGAATAATAGCAAAGAATTGCATTAAGGTCAACCTTTGAAACAATGTAAGCTAGAAATTCTGCATAAAATCCGCGTACGATTGCGTTGTTACCTACCGCCAAAGTCGTCACATGTTGTTCAACCATGATGATCAAATTTTTCTGCGAGAGTTTTGTTCCAGAGAAGAGGCACATGCGACATAAACATCCAAAAAACTCCACAACCAGAGGGATGTCTCCTAGCACAATTAAATAAAATAAAATAAGCTCGGGGCTCTTGTCTGGTCGGGGCCAAACTCCGAACAAATGGGTGGCACGAATAGGTGGAAAGAGACGGGAGCGAGGCTTTGTTCACACTTTACAGAGCATGGCAAAGTGCCGTGAAGAAGAAAATTCCACACCTTCTACTTCACTTCTAGCCCGAAAGCCCGAAGGTGGTGTGTCCAGCACCCCACCCCATCACCATGAGGAAAAGGCTACGAGATGTGGGTGTGCAGAGGAGAATAAACCATGGGCCGAGGAGGAAGGGCAAGAATCTGGACAGTCATACGACGGAGAAGTTGCCTGTTCGGACCGAGATGATTGAGTGCGTACATTCGGCTACAGGTGGATGTCGAGTAGATGGCTTTGTGGTGCGAGAGATCATTAAGGATATCCACCACCACCAGGCCTAGTCCGCCATTTGTGTTCTCACTCCATGGGCCATCATTGACATCATTATTATAACAAGCATATAACTCGAGAACACAAAAGCTTAGTGCTGTAGAGGAGGAGAGGAGGGCGAGTGGGACAAGCAATCCCTCGCGATCATCAGCAAATGGAAGTCGTCCTCTTGGATTTCTCATGCCCCCCTCCCCCCCCTCGACTTCCAAGCTGCCGTAGGGTTGCCAGAAACCAGATCGCGGGCGTCGGAAAGGCAGCGAGAAGGGGACGACTCGTAGCGGGGGATGGATGAAAGAAGGAAAAGTCGATGAACGGGAACCGGACGGGGAGGTGGCGGTGACTGCTCACATTCAGGCTCGCCGAAGCCTGTGGGCTCGACGGGACTGGCTGCGGGCGGTGCAAGTGCAAGTGCAAGTGCGGGTGCAAGTGGGTGGGCCTGGAGGTGTCTCCCGTCCCCCAGAAACCCAGAAAGGCCGGGGCCGGGGCCGGGGCGAGAGATCTCCGGGGGCAGGAAACGGACGGACCTCGAAGGGAGAGCAATTCCGGCGGTGCTCTTTCTCTCTCTCCGATCATGCACGGGACTAAGGACGCAGCTGCGAGACGGACGGACGGCGAGTGAAAGGGCAGGGCCGGGCAGGGGCAGCGAAGGGGGCAGTGAAAGGGGCAGGTACGGTATGGCATGCAGCAGCAGCAGAGTCCCCCCTACGAGAGAGCGAGTCAGCGAATCAGCTGCCACTTGCCAAATTGAAACCCACTTGCGGGAGTCGAGAAGCAAGCGAAGGACGGAAGGGACGGGAAGGGAAGGGAAGGGGGGAAGGAGGTGAGCATCGGTGCTGGCGATCTTTCGGGGGCGCCCCTGACCGCAGCTCAAACTCGCTCGCTCTCGCTCTCGCTCACTTTCTTTCTTGCTCGGTCCGGCATTCGAAGAGGAGAAGGGGGAGAAGGGGGAAGGGGAGAAAGGAAGGCATTTGCCGTTTCTGGTTGTGGTACCGAATGATCCCCAGCGGCAGCAGTAGAGTAGCGACGTAGGCCACTTTGCTGATCAGCAGCAGCAGCAGCAGCAGCAGCGGCACTTCCTCTTTCCATGTCCATTTCCCGAGCGGAAGAGAGTCACGGCCCGACGGATGTGATGTTGTGATGCGAGTGAGAGCCTGCCTCCTCTCAGTGGAGCAAGCAAGGAAGGACGCACCGCACCGAAAGGACGAATCGTGCGAAAGGAAGGGAAGGCGAGAGTAGAGGAGAGGCGAGGTGTGGAGCGGAGCGGAGCGGCCATCCAGCGCGACGGAACTGCTGTGAGGTTCCGAGTCGAGGAAGGAAGCCAGCGATAAAGTAAGCAAGCAAGGACGGAAGCGGGCCCTGTTGCCAATGTTGTTGACCTGGAACGGAAGGCCGTAGGTAGAGAGGAAGAGAGAGAGAGGGAGATTGAGGGCTGGGGGAGGGGGGAGGTCGGTGGTGGTGTCGTTGCATCGGAGTGGGTTTTTTTTCCACGAGAGTGCACGGAGGTGCAGTCAGACGCCACTCCGAGCTTGAGCGACTTCGAGTGGAGCCTTTATGCTGGTATCTTGCGCGCTTGGTTTGGTGCGACGAGAGTGTTCTGACGGGGACTTCCGTGGAGCGGAGAATGATCTGCACGGGGACTTGCGAAGGGGATCTCTGAGGATCACTCGGCTAGCTTGAAGGTTTTGGATGTGATTGCTGAAGATTCACTGGTTATGAGCGGCGCTCTAATGCAGGGTAAGAAAGCGAGGTTCAGGGCTCAGCGGACATGGATTACACGCAGCGTGCGGCGGTGATGGTAGAATTCCCGACCGAAGGATTTTCTAGTAGGGCGCAGGTCACATGCGAGGTTTTGGTCCTAAGAGGATATAGCTGGTCGGCCTGTGTATGCGTCGAGCACTGTGGCACGAGTGCATCCTATGGCTGATTCACTGCAAACAGCTTGGCACGTAATTCATTTAGGTAGATGCTCTGCAGTGAAGTTGTTTTCGGAAGTTGAGATTGGTGAGAATTGTCTCCCTCACTTGGAGTGTTAGTTCGCCCCGTTCCATCTCTGTTTTAGTCTGGAGCTGGCTACGGACTGTTCTGCGATCAACCGAAGTTGCGCGACTTGTTTTGAGTTGAGGTAAGAATCCCCCGTTACTTGGATTGACCATGCGTGCATGCCGTACTCGTGTCTGCAAGGGAACTCATCCGTGTAGTTCAGTATTCTGAACGTCCATAGTACTGGAACAGTGACTAAGAGTTCGGTGTTAAGTAAAGGTCGTTGAGCTTTGATCATCCTCTGGTGATTGGGATAAGCGTCAGATATCATAGCGGAGATTTGTACTTCGTTCTTTGCCAAAGCAAGTGTTTTTTCTAGCTTTCTCAGGAGTCAGATAGATCAAATACTTTCAAAACTCAGCATTCTGGTCAACCTGTTGCAGGTATTGCTTGCCAGGCTTTCTTAGGGATTCACAATAAGAACCGCTAAGATTTAGGTCAACACTTTGGGTGGGAAATGAGCACGAATGAATTTTGGTTTCCGATATTGTTACTAGTGGGCTTTCAAGGTCAGTTGTGTTCAAAGGTATCCAGATCAAAACTGAATGCTGATCTGAGCCCTGTACGTTTCCTTGCAGGACTTCGACGCTGAACTCAACTGTACGTCATCCCGAAGGAGTTACTTTTTATCGTCTCCAAAAATGGATGCGTGTAATTGCTTAGAGCCGCAATGGTCAGCGGAGGATTTACTCATGAGATACCAGTATATTTCAGACTTCTTCATTGCACTCGCTTACTTCTCCATACCCCTGGAATTGATATATTTTGTAAAGAAATCTGCCGTCTTCCCGTACCGATGGGTTTTGGTCCAGTTTGGGGCATTCATCGTATTGTGTGGGGCAACTCATCTCATCAGCTTGTGGACTTTCACTACCCATTCGAAAACAGTAGCTTCAGTTATGACTGTCGCTAAGGTTTTGACGGCTGTAGTGTCGTGTGCAACCGCACTTATGCTTGTGCACATCATTCCAGACCTGCTCAGTGTAAAAACTAGGGAGCTTTTTTTGAAGAACAAGGCCGCCGAACTTGATAGGGAGATGGGTCTTATCCGCACGCAAGAAGAAACCGGACGACATGTGAGAATGTTGACTCACGAGATTCGAAGCACATTGGACAGGCACACGATATTGAATACCACCTTGGTTGAATTGAGGAAAACGTTAGCACTAGAGGAATGCACACTTTGGATGCCTACTCGGAATGGATTAGAGCTTCAGTTGTCTCATACCCTGAGGCAGCAGAGTCCTGTACCTATCACTGTGCCCATTCATCATCCCACCATCAAGCAGGTATTTAGCACCAACCGTGCGGTTGTGATCTCTCCAAATAGTCCGGTCGCAGTTACAAGACCTCGCACAGGAAAGTACATGATAGGTGACGTGGTTGCTGTGCGTGTACCGCTTCTGCATCTCACCAACTTCCACATTGGGGATTGGCCGGAATCGACGAAACGACCATTTGCCCTCATGGTGTTAATGTTGCCCTCAGACAGCGCGAGAAGATGGCACGTTCACGAACTAGAGCTAGTGGAAGTTGTTGCGGATCAGGTACTTTTTCATCTCTGTTCTGTGGTAAACTAAATGAACTATTTTTGTTTCCGTTGAATCATCTACGCTAATGCCATGATGGGTACCGATGAAGTTTGTTTCTGTATTGCATCTTATTCTTGCTATTTTCAAACTATTTGATAAATGCATGCCGTGTCATTCATCAATGACTATGTTCTTTTCTTTTTCTCGTTCTGCCTCGTTTATGATTCGTAGACATCTCTGTATCTTCGTTCTTTATATTATATATTTCATGTGTTTTTCTCCATCTGGATCTGTACAATCTTCCACTTACTTTTTTTTGTATTTGTCACGCTTTTGAAAGTTCTTTAAGAACTCCTACCTCAACTTAGCCATCTTTGATTTTTCCCACCTCTTCTTTTGTTTGACTTGTAGGCTTTACAGAGGTCTTTCCCACTTTACTTGCTCCCCTTTCTTTTCATCTTACTGTGTAATAATTTGTACTTTTTATTGTTTTTGTTCACCTGTTTAGTTTCCTTCTATCATTTATCGTTCTTTTTCTGGGGAGGATACCCTTTGATACCTGGTATGGTCTACTCGATTGTTTCGATCTGGAGTCTGTGCAACTGCTTGCAAGTAGAGTCCTATCCTTTCTTCATCACGTACTATCCTCGATCAACCACTCCTCCATCCTCCACTTACTCTTTCGGCCTTCGTCACTACGACCGGTGAATAAATGAGGTGTGAGTTACGAGTAGTGTGGAGATTTGTCTTCTCTTACTTATGAGCATCGGCAGGTCCTTTTTAATGTTTATGGGAGGTTCCCATCTTTGTGAAAATAGTCCAGGATTGATGTCATTTCTCCTTATCTGGAACTGTTGAAATCAGCAGTCAAGAACTTACCAGTGGGTTCAGTCTGTTTTGTTTGTGTCACTGGTCTCTATAGAAGCCTTTTATTGGCTGCATTTTGTTTCATCAAGATGACAGTGATTGATATAAGACGTCGTTATTGCTCCCTGTGTGAACAGGTTGCGGTGGCCCTTTCCCACGCAGCCATTTTGGAAGAATCGATGAGAGCCAGAGACTTGCTTATGGAGCAAAATGTTGCGCTGGACATGGCTAGGAGAGAGGCGGAGACAGCCATCCGCGCCCGGAACGACTTCCTTGCAGTTATGAATCATGAGATGAGAACCCCGATGCACGCTATCATTGCTTTGTCATCACTACTACAGGAGACCGAGATGACTCCGGAACAGAGGTCTATGGTAGAAACTGTCCTCAAGAGTAGTAATCTACTGGCGACTCTCATCAACGACGTACTAGATCTTTCTAGACTCGAAGATGGAAGCCTTGAGCTGGATATGCGTACTTTCAACCTTCCTGCCGTTTTCAGAGAGGTGAAACACTCTTACTGAATGTCCTCGAGGTTAAAAGGAATGAGTCGATTGCTTGTCATTGATCGTAGAACTTTGTGTATGTAAATTCAGTTGCTGATGGGATCAACGTCGCTGATGGGATTAACGTGGCATGCTTTTTTTTAGTTGTAAGGTTATGGACTTGTTAGGCCACAATTGCATGTGACAGGCGCGAAAGTTTTGACCGCGTGTGAGGCAACAGCCTATAATGTTTAGTCAAGTAAAGTTTGTAATTCGTTGACTCTAAGTGCTAACCATATTTCAAAGACATATAACTCCTGAGTATAAATTAGCGTGTATGGTGGAGGCCTTCTTCGTCATCTATTTCTTGTTTTCATCAAATTACATACAAGATTTCATTGACATAGGATTGCAGCAACAAAGATTCTAACACTCAATGTGATTGTATCATAACCTGCATGCATGATCCGTCACAAGACTTTCGTAATCTCCTTGTTGCATATGCAAGTTAATTTGAGATATATATAATCCTTGACTGGTTATTAGTTCTATGTCGTTACCACACTGACATTATGGATGTATTGGTGTACAGGTTATGAACTTGGTGAAGCCTATTGCATCTGTTAAAAAGCTCTCTGTATCTCTAAGTCTTCATCCAGAGCTTCCAGAGTATGCTGTGGGAGATGATAAGAGGCTCATGCAAACTGCCCTCAACGTGGTTGGAAACGCCGTAAAGTTTACGAAGGAAGGTAGTGTGACGGTGAATGTGTGTTTAGAACGGCCCGAGTACCTACGAGATCCTCGCTATCCCGATTTCCAGCCTTCTCATGGAGAAAATCATTGTTATATCAGAGTGCAGGTGAGATTCATTACCAGAGGAAACTCTTTGCCAAACGAGAAATTAGAGGATTGAAAAATTCCTTTGAATGCGAACTTTAAAGTCATGGAATGCAATGTACTCGTACCATGTAGATTCATCTCCATAAAAAGCTGTACTTGAAGTTAAAGGGTTACGATGCTCCTCTTCTTACCTCTCCATGTCATGAATGGGAGAAATCTGTATATTTTCCGTAGCTTGTGCGTGGAGTAAAACTTACTGAACTGTAGCACCTCTGCATGAACTTTAGAATCTCTGCATTTCAGTTCCTAACCTTCAGGGCATTTACTGCATTGAGTCCTTCTTTTATGATTTGAGTACTACGCTCATCACCCATCACTATGCATGGGGTTTCTACTTTACGATGGCGAGAGTACATCTTACATATGAGTGGAATCCATTGTCCAAAAAGGATGAATGTCGAAGTACAACAAGCGCAGCTTGAGACTCACCAGCTAGTCTCAATGTGGTTTCCATGTATGTATCGTACGTCCTAACAAGCTTTTCTTATACTTCAGGTTCGGGATACTGGTCTTGGGTTGAATCCTCAAGATATACCCAAGCTGTTCAATAAGTTCGTACAAGCTGATTCCACGACCACCAGAAATTACGGAGGCACTGGACTCGGTCTAGCAATCTGCAAAAGGTATCTACGCATGTCAATGGTTTTTTGGTCGTTTTTTCTACCACAGGCGGAGCGAACAAGTTCCTGGAATTTAGCAAGCCGGAGTTTTTGAAGTTCTTTGCTTGTAGAAGAATGGTCCAGATTACAAGTATGCTTAGCTATTGGTCCTATCGTTGCAATTTACTTATATGAATCTGCATGAGAAGGGCGTAACACTTGTTCGTCGTAAACCCTTAGGTGAATGTATGCCCTTCCATGCTTGATTCCATCTTCTGAAACGTCGCCCTTCCTTCGTGTTTTTCTTCTGCCCCTGCAGATTTGTGAATCTTATGGAAGGTCACATATGGATCGAGAGCGAGGGGCTTGGTAAAGGTTCAACCGTCATATTTATTGTAAAGCTTGCTCTACCAGAACACGTCAATGACATTGATAGGCAGACTACTCCAGCGGTGCAACCAAGTCATCTTCGAACTGATTTCAGCGGTGTCAGAGTTCTCGTTACCGATGACAATGGGTACGTTATATTTACCATTCAATGGCTGCTTTTAAAGTTTGTTAATTTTATGAGAAACCGACTAAGAAGAGCAAGCTTCATCATGGAGTAATGAACTGGGATCGTGCGATTCATAGTGCAAGTGTGCATCGAATGATTTGTTCTTTCAAAATATGCATGGGTTCTAAGATTGATGAGATTATGAAGATTCGCTTTTGAGAATGGCCAGGAAATTGATGGAGGTCTGCTGTTTGTGCAGAGTGAATCGAATGGTAACAAGGGGTCTATTAATACGTCTGGGATGTGACGTGACAGTCGTTAGTTCTGGGAGGGAATGCTTACAAGTCATCTCTCAACCCGGCCAACCGTTCAGAGTTCTTCTGCTGGATGTGTGCATGCCGGATATGGATGGGTACGAGGTCGCTGTTCGAATCCAAGAGAAATTTGCCCGCCATGAGAGGCCTCTGCTCGTTGCTTTGACTGCCAATACGGACCGTGCGACCAGGGAGCGTTGCATGAACCTGGGAATGGACGGGGTTGTGCTAAAGCCTATATCATTGGAAAAGATGAGGGTTGTGTTGACTGAGCTCTTAGAGCGGGGATCTCTTGTAGAAGGCCTACGGAGGTCTTGAGAGTGCGAACGTTTGGTACTTTCATCTCCCGTGTAAAACGGTGACGGTCCTGCCTCCATCTACCGTCAACCTGTTGGATATCTCCACGCAACATGGTCATTTCTGATCCCTGGATGAGAAGGAGCTACGTGCTGGTCACACACAGTGGGAACTTGCTGGGTAATAGTGGATCCACAGCCTCGACAAAATGAGGCTTGTACAGAGTTGTGCAGATGCTAATTCGTATTAGCACTGCTCTCCAGGTAGAAAGGTGTGTTGTGATCTCCATGTCACAAATTACTGGACGCTGGAAGTATCAATTGAAACTTTCTAGCAACTGGGCTTCCTGCTATGCCGGTGCCATGCTCCAATTGTAACATACTCTGATATCGTAATAAGCAATGGTAGTCGTCAAAAAAAGGGATTTTTCTCCTCGGTGCGTTGCCTTCCAGACCTCCTCCTCAATCTCTTGCGCCCTTGGCCAAAGTTGTGAATCTCTCCCTACGCACCGTGCACCAATATGAGGCATATACAGCATGCCTGCCCTCGAATGGAATGGCTGCTTGTTTCAGGTCGAGTATGGCTGTCAGATGTACCCTCCCTGTGTTACGCTCTGCCGAGCCGATCGGGTAAGGGTCTCCTGCGCCCCGGCGCCTCGCGATGCCTACTACATAGCTGGGCCTGAAGGAGTGTGACCACGTTACCAGGTTTCCGTCCTAATCGACGTCGTTGTGAATTGCTCCGGGCGTCGTGTATGTGTCCACTGGCAGTGCGTGCAGTTTACAGTTCAACGTCTGTCTAGCCGGCCTGGCGTGAAGAGGGCGAATACCTGCAGCTGTGGCCGGGACGGGACAGGACACGCTTTTATCTCTCTTGTGCAGTCGGAACTCCTGAAACCCTTCGACCCTCATCGTATCCAACGCAGGGACACCGGGTAATACTCTAAGAATTCGAATAGCTTGTACTGAGTATATACATGTCTATATTAAGTTCCGTGAATTCCTCCAAGATGGAAATAAAGTTCACGGGTTCATTTTTACTTTGTGGCACGCAGACGTACAGTGGAGCGGACATATGTGAACTCATGATGGCAGTAAATTGATGTGGATGATCTTTGCGCTGCACCAGTTGGCTAGTAATGGCACGTAGTGCAGTGTATGCCATGAGACGCAACATGGAATCGTTATGACCGGAGGCATGCGGAGGCTTTTGTTGTCGGGGACAATGATTAGCAATGGTAGCACATTACTGAGAGACTCATGGTTCAGACTGGAAACTTAACATTGAGATATGTCTATGTTCATACGCTGGATTTGTGTTATTGAAACGGGAAATAGAATTTTGTATAATCTTGCTAGCGATGATTAGATCGGTCAAGAATCAGAGTTTCATTTGCACTAGAATGTTTTAGGAATGAAATGCCTGATGGTTCTGTTTTGAAATTCAGAGTCGTAAGTTTTCTGATCTCAGTGTAAGTCGTCTATAAGAAAACCTTATGAGAGAAAACTATAAATTGTCTTCGGATACACAAACGGACGAATTAATAGAGAATTAGGCGATATGCAGAGTGTACGAATTAACGTTTTATGATGCGATATGTATATTGAAGAGAAGAAAAGAAAAACAACTTTTAGATACCTTATTAGCAGGCCTCTTCAAATATGGCATTTGTAGTTGTTCATGCTATATTTGTCATAAATAGTTTTTGCATGATGCCATAAATAAGACGGAAGTTCGAGTCCTTGTCCGCCCTTGTACCCTACTGAAAAGTTGTTGTTATACGTTCTCGTGGGATTATTGTTCATGAAATGTAGTCAAATTGTTGTTTATGAAATGTAGTCAAAGAAATGTTCTGATTAGAACATCAGATGTTCTAGACGTCAAACCAAGTCTGGTATCGCTATAAAGGTTTTGTGTAGTTTTTGTCAAATAGGGGCGGACAGAAGTGCAAGGAGGCTAGAATCACAAAATATTTCACGGTTTCATATTTACCGGAGCTGTACATTTTGAAAGCCTTGGGCGAAGTGTAGTGATTAATTTACCAAACTAATTGTATTTAAAATTATTGTTTTTAAAATAATATCCATGCTCATTTTGTTAGATTAATGATTAATTATATTTTGATATCAACTTAAACATCGTCAATATAATTTTACCATATTCTACATATACAATGTTGAGAATATTTCGAGAGTTAATGTGAGAATGTAATATGTTGATAGTAAATTTTGAAACTCGATTTTCCAAAATTTTTTTGCTAGAATATATATTGTTATTATGGATGATTTTTCTACGTTTAGTTGGAAGAAAGATGAATACACATTGTTTTTAATGGATTTGTGTTCAATGAATTAACGCATTGTTAGTAATTTAAATAATTTAAAATTATGGTCACATTTGTCACAAATAAAAATTAATTATATCATAATAGAGTGATTTATGACAAATTTAGCAATTACCAATCTAGCATCGACTTGCTTATTTGTATTATCTTGATTAGGTTTAAAAGATGAATTAGAAGAAATTCGATACGATCTTTCAATCATAGAAAGTTTTGAGTCGATAACTCGATACTTTTCCTTCGTATAGACAATGGTATCGAGTATGTATCTTAAAACGGTAGAATATGACAACAATGCTAACTTTCAAAGAAAGAAACTTCGGATCCATAAAATGGGGACTAGACTCTAGAATGAAAGTTTTCATATGAACTTTTGTGCACAACATTTATGTGAAAATCTCTCTGTACATTGTTCTAAATCAACGAAGTGGAGAATCATAAAGTTGTGATCATATTCAATTACCTACAGATAAATATTTTTTGATATTTCGAAGAAGAAAACATCAGTCTTCAGCGTTTCATTCAAATCATTTTGAGCTCAATAGTCATGATGAAGTAGTCATCGTACATTAGTCTAATTATAATCTACTTCAACAATTTTCCTCTCTGAAAAAAATCGCTCAGGAGTCCAGAAGAATAATTAAACAGATCTACTGTTCGACGACAAAAGCTACAAGATTCCACACAAAGTCACAGAATCAGCTCGAAGCATAACAAGACAGACACTCGAAGTTCGTTCGTGCATAAACAAGGATTATGCACCCATCACCGAGCAATAATTATGGCAAATTATGTGAGTCAAGCGAGTACTAAAATCCAGCAACAGCGGCTGGTGATTTGCAATCGAAGTCAAACCGCGACCCGAGTCAACCAGGACCTACACCGTAGCAGTACCACTCTCACCGTGTCCAGTTACGGTACAACTGCGGACCATGAATCGAGTACTCGCTACGATAGGAATTGGCTTCATTTGGAGCCAGCCATGCCATCGTCGTCGAGCTATCAGATCCCTCGACGACGATGATGGAATGGACTCCACAGTCCTCGGATGGAACCGAGTAAGAGTAAGAGCAAGAGCAGGTGAGTGACAGCGGCTGAACGTGGTTAGTCGGGTGGTTCCAGCTTGACGTTCGTTCGAGCTCGGGTGCGTTTCTCGGAGCCCGCCATTCGAAGGAAGGCTTCCCCTTCTTGCTGCTGCTGCTGCTGATGGTGGTGGTGGTGGGCGTGGGCGTGCATGGCTTGACGCAGGCCTTGGGTCGATGTACATGTCGCGGCACTGGAGCTCGATTCGACGACGATGCGACGATCACAGGCAGGAATGGCGATTCGGACGTCCGCGTTTTCTGCCGCCAGCCATGGAGTTCCGGATTGCAGCGTTGTTGAATTCACCGCGTCCGCGTGCACGAGAATGCGATTCCGCCAACCTTCTCTTAACACTGCCCTGAGCTCCCTCTGCCTGTCTAGGGTTTTTCTGCAGAGCGGCAACCATCGGTGGAATTCGTGAATTCTCATGAGTGTCTCGCAGTGTGGTTCGGGAGTCGTGGGGTTGCTGTTCTAGTGGGCTGTGAGCTACACCGCGCGTCTGGATTTGTTCCTCTGACGTTCATGGTGAGGAGACACAGTATCTTGAGTGTGTCTGGGTTTTAGATTGTTGTTTACAGACCTTAGTGTCATTTTATGGATGTGATCTTGTTTCGTGAACTTCTCTGTTCGGTTAGTGCTGTAAATTGTGTCTTTTTTCTTGTCACTTCCCAAAATTTCTGACTTCGAACTTGTTCTCTGTTGTGAGAAAAGTTGATTGTTTACATTAATTCAAAGGACAATTCGGTGTCAGTTTCAACCGTCCTTTGCGTTCTTGAATTTGAATTTTGTGCTTCTTGGTTATCAGCGTAACCTAGAATTGAGGTACTAGATACGTGCTTTGCTCACATTCAGTTTCTCTTCATTGGGAGACGTAAGTCTGGTTTCAACACATGACAAGCACGCGGCGGGAAGGAACCTCGGAGGAATTGTCACTGTTTCTGTCAGCTTTATGTATGGTGTTTCTACGGAGTTGCAGTTTTAAATCACAGCGTTTCTTGAAGGGAAATTACATTTTTGTCGACGATTGGTGCATTTTGCTCAACTCAGGAACCGGTCAAGCATCATTGGTTTTTGCCCTTGAGTATTTTAAAGACGGATATAAATGTCGAACTGTAAAAGTACGTGTATCTGACCCGGTTTTGCTTGCTTGGGTGCTCTCTGCAAGGCATCAGGGCTGTGACGGGTGAGGACCTTCGCGTTCATCCGCTGTCAGGTCCTTCCCCTCTTTGGCGGACGTCGTGGCTCACATGCAACTCGAGAGTAGAATTTTCTCTTAAAAGGAAAGTGGAGTATGTTGATTTTTCATTGAAGGCGTCAAATTTTGAGGAAAGGGCCGAAGAAGGAACTATTCAGCGTTTGAAAGTTTCAGACCGAGAACCACCATGGAGGGACATGACGAGGAGGAGAACGAAGAAATTATGCTTCTCAGGGAGCAGAGACGACAGCTCTGTGAGAACATAGAGAATCAGCGCCGTAATCGCGAGGATTTGATCAACAACCTCAGTCTGATCGTGCCAGATCTCGTTACTTCTCTTGAACTGTCACTGAAGGTGGCGACATCTTTCGGGGGAGTTACATCGACCAAGAGAGAAAGAACGAGATATCCTCGAGCAGATGCCAAGGACAGAGACTATGTTATGAAGGGAGTCGTTTTCGGAGGCTCTTTACGCAATGGTCAGAATGGTAGTGGGGGTTTCCAGAATGGAGTCGAGAACAGGTCACTCAGTCGAGTGCAAATGAAAGCCAACGGAGTCGTAGAGAATCGGTTCGGCAGGAGAGTGGAGAGCTGGAATGGTGATTCAGGGGACTCTCAAAACTGGGGAATGGACGACTGGGCAGAGAAAGAAGGTGGAAGGATGGAGGCCCTGACCTTTGTGAAGGGTATGGTGGCAGCCTGCCTGTTGGCCCCCGGGACATCTGTACCCATGGATTCCACCGGCCTTCACCGAAGGTTATCTAAAGACCCAACTGTTGCGGAGAGAGACGCTTTGGCAGAATTGGGAGCGGAAGGTGGAGGTATAAAGGCCGTAGAGATTGCCTTGAAAGCTTTAGGAGATAACTCCAATGGAAGCGTTGAGATCGAAGAGTTTGCTGTGAGTGGGAAGACACGCTTGATGGTTTTGGGGATAGACAGGAACAGACTATCGAAAGAGCTTTTAGCTCCATCTTCTCTCAGAATGCCTGGAGATGCACCTCACAACATGATGGGGATAATGGGGCCAGGAGGAAATATGGAACCAAATGGCTGCCCTGGCCCGCAAAATATGGGACCAGGACCACCAAGACCAGACATGTGGGTCGGTGGAAATGATCCTCATCTTCAAGTGGCACCACCCTTGCCTGGACCTGGACCGCCCATGTTCCCAGGAGGACCACCTCCATCAATGGTACCAAGAGGTGGACCTCGAGGTATGCAAGGGATGATGGGTATGCCCGGACCTGGATTACAGATGGGGTTCGGAGGAATGCCTCAATTTCAAAGGCCACATCTGGCTCCCGGGTTAGGATCGGGACCCCCCGTCGTTGCGGGCAAAAGAGTTGGTGAGGATGACGATATGAAAGACCTGGAGAATTTGTTGAACAAAAAGTCGTATAGGGAGCTTCAGCAGTCGAAGACTGGCGAGGAACTTCTGGAGCTCCTACACAGGCCAACAGCTAAAGAAACTGCTGTCGCAGCTAAGGTTGGTCAATCGAGATGCTCTTTGATTCTAAGAAAATCATCTTGGACATGCATACTGAATTGCTTCCCAGCTACTTCTCTCAACTCAGCTAGAGTTTTATGATGCACAGTTCAAGACAAAAGGAGGCTCCGCACTGAAGGAGTACTGTGCTGCTCTTACGAAAGAGGACTGTCGTCGGCAGAGAGGATCTTTCATGGCGTGTGAAAAGGTTTGGTCGTACTTATAATTTTTTTTTCTTTTTTTGTGAATTCAAAGCGTGCCCGAGAGCCTAGTTTGCTCTAGATCTGATTGAGATGTTCATGTGTTTTCTTCTCTGCGCTCGTATCTTTTGTGCGTGGATCGTACACATGAGACGATCTACACATGAGTTAGCTGGATATATGAATCATTATTTTTCTGAAATTGTAGAAGTGAAGAGCTGACGAATGGAGCCTTGCAGGTGCACTTTCGAAGAATCATCGCACCGCACACCGACAGTAATCTCGGTGATTGTTCGTTCTTGGATACATGTCGGCACATGAAGGTATCAACATTCTAAATTCTACTTTCGATAGGGTTCGCTTGAAAGAAGTGGCCTCTTGCGTAAATCGACTTTTCGCCAGATGCGGTAATGTTTTGTTCTCAAGCTTTTCTTGAACGATATTTCCGCGTGTTTGTTTTCCAGACTTGTAAATATGTCCACTACGAGCTAGACCCCACACAAGATGTGAGGGGCATGATGACCGGAGTACCGGGTTTACCTCCTCCACAGAGGCCTTCAGGAAGGCCACGACGAGCAGAATATTGCTCTGACGCAGAACTCGGTGAACCACAGTGGATAAATTGTGATATTAGGACTTTCCGCATGGACGTTTTAGGCCAGTTTGGTGTCATTATGGCCGATCCTCCCTGGGACATTCATATGGAGCTACCGTACGGAACAATGGCAGATGACGAGATGCGCAACCTGAACGTTCCAGCTTTGCAGACAGACGGATTAATCTTCCTGTGGGTCACGGGCAGAGCCATGGAGCTTGGGCGTGAATGGTATTTCACGCAAATATACTCTAAGATGGATACGATGACAAGATGTTAAAACTCTGTACTGCAGACAGCATACACACTGTAGCCGTTCTCTGTACTTTTCCTGCTGTTGTACTTGTCCAATCTGGCCGGTGTCTTTCACGAATTGAATTATCTTGGGCGGAGAGTTTGGAGTGATGTCAGATGCTGTACGGTAGAGTGCGCAATCGCACAATGGAACGTGGGATTTTCAATCAAGATAGCCGTATGATTTGAACTGTCAACTTTGTGCATCAGCGGTACCTGTTGGTGAATGTTTTGCTTGTGATACTGCAGTTTGGAGCTTTGGGGCTACCGCAGAGTAGAGGAGATGATATGGGTGAAGACAAATCAGCTGCAACGAATTATCAGGACAGGGCGAACCGGTCATTGGCTTAACCACAGCAAGGAGCATTGCCTTGTTGGAATTAAAGGGAATCCGGACGTGAATCGTAACATCGATACAGATGTAATTGTTGCAGAAGTTCGTGAAACCAGCCGCAAACCAGATGAGGTCGGGACCGTTTTGTACTTCTAGTAGATGATGCTCCTTTACCGATGGTCATTTGGTCATGCCTTTAACATAGAGTCGAAGTTGCTGTCTTTTAATCGAGCCTTTCTTGTGTATACGTCTATTTTGTGTCTCTCTGTTTTAAAGACTTTCCTGGGCATCTGAGCAGATGTATCCCCTACTGGAAAGAATTAGCCCTCGAACTCGAAAGCTTGAGCTTTTCGCTCGCATGCACAATACACATGCTGGGTAAGTCCAAGATACATCTTTGAAGTCTTCATTCAGAACATTCAGACATGACATTTATTGGTTGGCGCCCTCACAGATATAACTTCGAACTGCTATTGTATTAACCTAGTGAATACTTCATGGCTATTGTCCACCTTTCTTTCGTGTGCTCATACCCCTTCGACCATGGGTGCAGGTGGATCTCATTGGGAAACCAGCTGAATGGTGTCCGTCTTGTAGACGAGGAGCTCCGTGCAAGATTCAAATCTGCATATCCGGAAGTAGAGGTGCAGCCCCCTGATCCTCCTTCTAAAGTTGCTTGTCATGAAGGGGAAAATTCAACCCCTCGCATGAAGAGCCCTCCTCATAGTGCATCTTTGGTGAAAGAGAATGGTGAAGGTAATGCAGGTGTTGCGACCGTGAGCAGCTCAGGAAATACAGGTGGAGATGAAAAAATGGGGTCAGATAAGGATAGTGAGGCGGCTAATCGTCAAGATGACCCTTAAATATCTCCACGTGGGTTATTTTTATCTTCATATTTAGGTTGCAGGCTGAATGAATGACGGTCGCTGTTCTGGAGTCTCGTTTCTCACATTCACTATAGAGGTGTAGGGGTGACTCGACCAGGAACAATTCCAGCAGTGAGGATGAGCTAGCATAGTCGTGGTAATTTCTCACGGAGTGCTGGTTTTTGTATAATCCAAGGCGGTAATTTCCAGTCCATCTTCTCAATTTAAAAGATGCGTGAGCGATCACTGAATTTTTTCCTCAGGCAGTTTTCATAATTTTTTTCCCTGGAGGACAACTAGGGGATGTAGATGTCATCATCACCTAGTATTTTTAGCGTTGGGTCCTGATATTTTTCGCAACGAAAATTCTGAATCGTTCGTTCTAATCCTACTAGACGTTGTATGCTGTAGGTAGTTTACTGTGAAAGTAGTCAAATTCTTATGCAAGTTCAAATAAGAGATCTATCCCAGATTCAAATGTAGTCGTCCATAATTCCTTGCTACACACATCCCTTATTGCATGCGTACCCCTGAATTGGGTTTGTATCTATTCTTCCATCTATCAGTTCATCCTATGGTCAGGGATTGTAATAAGTAAATCCAGCGTGCTGGAGAAAAGTCTTGGAAGTAGACGAAGGGCAGGGCCAAATTGTTTGAACGGAATGACGAAGGATATTGTTTGCAACTTGAAGTGCTTCATATCCTTCAAATGTATGTCCGTTAAGTTCAAGTCGTTTATCTATTTTCAGACTATTACAATTCGTACAACCGGATCTACAAGACTTGAACAACTTTGTAGGAAAGAAAGTTCAGAATACTATATTATCGCAGCGAAATATCAACTATCGAAGTGTGGTGATGGGTTCAATGGGATCAGAATTGCCGATGGGGCCGTCCAAGCGCGCGCGAAAGACATCCCAATGTGCCTTTTCTCAACTGTAGGGCGATAGCTGGGATATCTCTCATTATGCACACATTTTCAGTCATGGATGTCTGGGTCTGCGTATCGTTCTCTTTATTAGTTTATTAGTTTATTCGTTCTCTTTATTCGTTCTCTCAAAATCTTCAAGTGGTGGTCTTTATAAGTTCTATCGCAGTCAGACGGGTTTCAGATATCCATGAGCGCTGCTCCGGAGCCGGAAATCTGCCCGGCGACTCCACACGACGTCCACATTCGGCTCCTCTAATACTTCATGTATCCATGTCAGCGCAGTTTCTAGGATGGTGACTGTTCCAGTCACTCAATTGTCGGCTGATCAGACTTTCGTTCAGCCATAGAACACTTGTCAAGTTGCAGTGTGTGCGAATCTCGATCAAATTTCGTTTCTAGTCATGCATTGGGAACTCGGCTTGCACTTTGCACAGCCACATTCATCAGTCCATCTGAAACAAGTGGACATTCTACAAAAAAAGAAACTTTACGGTTGAAATTAGGACATCTTAGGCCTGGTTCGGGGTGAGAACGTTGACAAATCATGCATTCGCGACTGACTCTGAGGACAAGCGTGCATCAAAGCTCAAGTTTTCATGTGGAAAGGAAAAGCTTGAGATAAGATTATATGACAAGGAAACGATTCTAGTCCAAATTCGCTTTTAAAAAAACTTTAAAAACTCAACATACTTGGTTAAACATTTGACACACTTGTCTATCAATACTAGATTCACACCACGACAACCACAAAATCTCTGGGTGTGGCTGCGTACCAAGAATCTTATGGTTTTGCAGAGAAAGTATGCAAGCTAAACGCTGAGCTGGACACATTGACCGACAGTACCATTGGAAAATGCAGCCTTGATAAACTCATACACAAAGCGCAAGTCCATCATGACACTCCATGAATTTAATGACATACCGGAATGGAATAACATCCCTAGTAGAGAAAAACATACACAATGTCCACTAGAGGTAGATAACCCCAACTTTTCTACAGCGTGAGCACTCAGCTGAATAATACTCTCAGACATGGAGTTCCTTAGAAGATTGAAGTGCTTCCCTCGAGTCCAGATTGAAAAGATCTTTCAACTGAACTCAGCGTGGATAGACACATGCCAGAACATCCACAAGATCTGATCGTTATGATTCATAACGATGATCGATTACTTTGGAAAAAGAGGTCCAATGGGTCTCCGTTGCAGTATCACTTTTGTTACTATCACTGTCAAGTCGGTCATTACTATCATCACTCTAGGCTGGGAAACACCATTCGTGCATCGAAAGAGCTCTCGATAATACTTCAGCACCTAAAATGACGTACACCACAGTTCCATCAAAATCGAGCGAATGTGGAGTCATCATCACCAATATCTGTCAAACGATTCGACGAAATCTAGGGTTGAACAGATTAGAAATGATGTTCCCTAGTCCATAGTGATGACAGTAACATAGTCATAACAAGAGCTTGATGATTTTGGTTCATTTTACTATATATCGTTTTGATTATTCGACTGTAAGCTCCCTCCTCTCATCACAATCAGCATTACACTAGAATGCTCACTTAGGTTCAATAGATCTGGGATGCATCTCAAACTTTGTGGATTTCGAATCGAGAGAAAGGCCGCGCTCATGATGCCATTGAGGATGTTGCCTTTGACATGACTCCGAATTGTCATTCTGCAATGTAGAGAGAGAGATGTGGTACAACTGTAGCTTGCTAGGCATGGACAACATTACATTTCATGGACCAGATATTTGTATAGAAAAATTTTAGAAAATTGAAATTAGTTTGGATTTAGCGCTACCCGTGGAATCCACCCCGAGCTTTGACAGAGGATGCAAGCCCACAAATCTCCACGCTCCCTTGACTAGGTTCGATGTAGAATCTGATTCGTTTGAAGATGGAGATGGGAAGCTGGTATGCATCATCGGTGGAAGTGTACGAGGAGGACTACTCGAAACGAAACGAGGTCTGCGAATCAACTAAATAGTTGCTGTTTCGGTCTCGAACGATTAAGTAGGTCAGAAATTACAATGGTCTCAGACAAATGGACGAGAGCATGATCCGTAAGCTTCTGTATTATACGAGGTTCCTTGAGCACCTGCACGCCCGTCGGGCGCTTGGCGGGTGCCATGAACGAGCCGAGCTCATAGACATCTGCATCACCAAAGCTCATGAATAGAGTCATCTTGTTACCATGGACGAAGTCTCGGAGTAAATTGCAGCCGTGATTCCAAAATATCATATAATTTAACTGCACATGACAAAGCTACACATTCTCGAATAGTTAAATTGTCTTTCCTGAATCCTGGAATTAGTACGAATGCACTTGCGCTTGGTTGCAGGACCGTCACGCTAAATTCACTGGTACTATTCTGCATTTGTAAAACCCATGCATTGCTATTTCTACGATTTCCAAAAATCCCTCTCATCGTTTAGCCAGCCGCTTTTGCCATAATAATAACAAGTACAATAAACATTATCAATGAGCCCAGTTCGTGAAAATGGCCACTGCTTAATTATAATTAATTAATTGCATATGAATTAATTAGTTAATATGCAAATTGATCGATAAGGAGTACAAATTAGCAAAGTCCATTGATTCTTCAAAAGGATAAAAAACCATCCGAGAGTAGAGTTCAGAGGGTAGAACTAAAGGTTCTCAAGGTTCTAAATCAGTGAAGGAATCTCTAGAAATTCAATGCAGGAACCTGTGCATGAAACCTGCCTTGAGTTCAAGCTTTTCAGTGTCCAACAGATTAGCGCATCGTATCCTCAGATCTCCAATTACAGTAATTGTTCAGGGGCTCATCAGAGCAAGATTGTATGATCTTGATCTGTGAATAGGATCGTCGACGTAGACACTTGGGTTTTTAAGCTGGCAGATGAATTATGGCTTGCTCGAGGTCATGCATACGTCTGCCTGCCTGCCTTTCGTTGTTACAATTCCAGCTTCGGTATCTCTTTCCGGAACCCGTCCGACAGTCGTGGCTCCGGGATGCTCATGGAGGACGGAATCGTATGAATCAGAGCTTATGGACCTCGACATGCTCGACTCAATGACATTTGCGGAGAAAATTGAAGAAATCTGTTTCCTTTGTTCTACATCCTTGATCAGATCTTCGTTGACGATCTGATCTTTCGTGATCCGTCGCACATAAAATTTGGCAGATGGAAGGTTTTCTCCTCGCTGTTGTTCCTCCTGAATTTGCAAGTCGCCAGAATCCCCAAGTGATGAACTTCTGAACACGGGTTGCAACTTCGAGGTGCAATATCGAAGCCACGTCGGAACAATCATAAAACGCACATCTTGTTTCTCGGGTCGGGTATCTGTGCGTGTGTTCGTAAAGGATTCATAACAGCCGAGGATGCATGAGAGGTCGAGAATCGAATTCAGGATCATAAGGTCGAGTCTGAGAATCACGCCACCAATCGATCAGTCTGAGCCTGAACGAGCAATGGTCGACTCACGATGCATGAGACAGCTCGAGGTCAAAACCATGTCCATCTTCTTCAGCTCAATGCGTCCCTCCAGATGAGCACAACACAGCCACTTGCCAGTCCACTGGCTGTGCCTGACCCTCTCCTGATTTATGCTTTCTATACTCTACGTATCTGCTTGTTGGAAATTAAATATAAACCATTCTCTATCATCTTCTAACTGTTTAGTAATATAATTATAAATATATATATACAATTTCAGTCTTCCTACGATCTAGACGCACTACACCGTCTCTGGATGTAAATTACGTCCTTACACGTGAGTAGATTTTGCAACCCATTGCGATGCTACTGTGTAAGTATTGCATTCGTAAGAAATGGAAGAAGAGCATATCGAATTATGAAGTGAGGTCGAGGCGTTGATATGGCCTCAATCAATCCTTTTATCAAGGGATTTCGTACTGAGTCTACACAGCAAAGCTTCATTGCCAGGATCCACTTGGCTGCGTGAAGAATCCATGCAGTGCAGCGGAACATATTGAGGAGTTAGTTTGTAACACCGAAGCATAGAATAATAATAAATAAAAATTCAGCAGCTCCGGGTCTACCACTCTATTCCATCCCTCTCTTCACTGATGTTCAAGAACTTAATATGTTACAAATTATATGCTTCATTGTTCTTGTTTAAAAAGTGTTCTTAAAGTTTTTCAAATTTTAAAGTAAGCAAATTTATAAACAATTATGCAATCATTATGATATTTTTTAAAAAATTTCTCTTGGTCTGATTATCAAGCCAGGAGCTTACATTATGACCCCATACACATTATTGTAATAAATTTTATTATTTTGTAATTATTTAATCGATATATACGTTGGGTATGTTTTTGTGGTTAACAATTATAGATATCTTATCTGCATCCTTCCTATATAAAAGTAATCCGAAATTATAAGGCCTATAACGCTAATCATATGAGTTTTTAATGTACAATTTTTTTGGAAGCATGATATTCACTGATAAGTATAATGTTTTAGCATTATAGTACATTTCAAAACATAAAGCAAAGAGGATGACTTATTGTAGATTAATAGCGAGT